TTTCAGTAACTTACAAACAGCAACCCTAAAAATATTTTTCCACTTTCCTAATGCTCTCACAAAACTATTCCCCACCTCAAAGACCTTTGATATTGAGACCAGGTTAAGTTAACCAAGAAGTTAAATTCAGTGAGGTTCCAGCTGCTTCTGCAGATTTTCTCTTGTTTTCCTTACCTTTTGTGTGTATAATTACATAATATACATAACCAATTCATTCCTTTGTTTGCCATATTCTAGTGAGTCTGAAAAACCTGAAAGGTTCACTAATGAAAACATATACAACAGTTCAATGAATCCAATGCATGATGAATGCATTAAAAGTCCAAGAAAGTAGGCTGTAAGAACACAACAGTGCTTAAAATAATCAATGTAGACCACACAGATAGGCAGTTTGTTACCTATAATCTCTGAAAACTAACTGCAAGGCGTAATCACTAATCTCCTCTTTTGATAAGAAACCACACTGTCTTTGATTATCTTTTTATATGTAATGATCTTCTAGAAAACTCGATTGTTGGATTTTAACAGAAGACTCTGGTGAGAACCACCCTTATCTGTTGTACTTTCTGGTTACCCCTAGCATTGCCTAGAAGCTTTTTATCTAGGTCGGTCTGCATAGCGGTGCCATGTGGTAACAAAATTAACATAATTTGATTAGTCATTGATGCAGTTGCAGGTATCACTTTTATATTTAATTACTTTGGTTTCGTTTATGTGACTACACCAAAGGGCTGGTTTATGTGACTACACTCGAGGGCAACTTGCCTAAGGGATTGAATTGGATTGGATTGGATTATTGTAATTTGGCACAAAACCTGTCAAGGTTATCTGCGCCAGACAAATGATAACAATGCAATTAGTCATTTGTAAAAACTTCCAGCTTAGGTAAGAAGAGACAGATTACAATCTATGATAAGGGCTGATATCTTTTAAAAAAACAGGTTAAAGTCTATTATAAAAGCCAATATCTTTTAAAAACAGAAACAAATTACGATGATGTGTTTTTTCCAATTAAATTTCCAGTTCTGAACAATTAAAATGTTTTTGGCGAAAATAATTAAAACTCTGGCATTCCACCAAGATATGATGGACTGTCAGATCTGCATTGCAGTTTGGGCAGCTGGGATTCTCTTCTCCCTTCAGAAGATACTCATGGGTCAGGCGACAATGGCCAATTCTCAGTCGAGTCAAGAGGACATCTTCCTTTCTATTAGCCATACATGGCCAGTATCCAATAGGTGGGTTTTACATTTCTCAGCTTGTTATATACTCTTTGTCATCCCATTGCTTGTGCCATTTGCTGAGGATTTTGCTTTTGACAAACCCTTTGATGTCTGCTAGTGAATCTGAAGATTGTACATTGTGGTTGCAGTTTTAGCTGCAATATCTGCCAATTCATTCCCCTTAATGGCAACGTGTCCAGGGATCCACGAATATAGAATCTGGTATCCCCGAATTTTTAAAGAATGATTCAACTTTCAGGAATTCTGATTGCAACTGGGATGAGTACATTGAGCGTGATTTTTTCCAATGACATTAAGGCACTCATGGAATCTGTGTAGATAATAAATTTTAGTTCTTTTGTTTTGAAAGGTAAGTCAAAGCCAGATGGATTGCAGTAAGCTCAGAAGTAAGCACAGAGCAAACTGTACGTAATCGAACCCCTACTATTGTTTTCTCTGTGACGAAAGTGGCGCCAACATGATCCTGGGATTTTGATCCATCTGTATATAGAGGGATACTTGCCTAAGGGAAGAGATGTTTTTGTGGAGGACTTTACAAGGGAAACTGGCTCGTATACACATTACACATAGCACACCCATTCACCAGGATTTGAATCCCAGACCAAACTTTTTATTTAATTAGATATAAACTTTTATTTCTAATTAGATTAATAATTATTAGTTAAAAAATTGAAAAGTGAAAATATAAATACCATTAGCAAAACTTAATTTTTCAATTTCTCCCAATACAAAAAAACTGTCATTTTCCCCCCTCAGTTGAGGCCCCAGGTAATTGCCCCTGTGGTAGTTTAGCCTACTCCATCTTGATTTTAGGCAAAAGCACCCCCAGAGACATAATCCTAAGTTCTCCTACCTATATTCTTTAGCCCTCAAGCCTTCTAAAAGACATCTGGATGAAGAGATTTTAAGTCCATAATTCCAGAAAAAATGCCTTTTCTGGTATTTGAACATATACCCTATGTATGTATATATATATGTAGTATCCGTAAGTGCGACACAACCACCAGAGGGCCTCACCGATGCGCCAGCAGCGAGGTGAAAGAGGAGTATGACAGAGAATTTCTTCTGCTATCCCACGCGAAGGTGGTGAGATGTCTGTCTGCACGTGATGGTGTAGAATAAGGAATTGTAGTTTTCCACGGGAAGGTGGTAAATTGACTTTATAACATTAGCAAGTGCGAGTAGGCACTAATCGGTTATGTGGTAAGACTGGTAAAACTATACAGAATCCTGTTTGTATCAAACAGCACTTGTATTTAATCTAATTTGTACCTTTTCTGATTATCTTTATTAAATGTTCTGTGGTGTGGAAAACAACGTTGGAATTGTTATTTAGCATCTTCAACTTCCCCACTACATATATATACTGAAGAGCAAATGAATTAGGGATAGCTGGCTTTATGCAAGTTCTGAGTGGAAGCCTAGAAGTGACTTGCAAATGATATAAGCAGCATTTTGACAAGATAAGGAGTGCTGCTCAACAGGTCTATGCACATTTGATTGTGGCCAAATCATTGGGGACTGACGAATGGATCACTCCATTTTGGAAGGAGTGCAGACACTCAGATTTTCACACATAGCCATGTCAAGGGTGTACTGTGAGTGTGTCAATTCCGGTAAAACCATCGTTGCCAAGGTCAACTGTCAAGGATGATTGTGTGTGGATGACCAAGGTTGGCAGTGGCTAGCCCGCATTGTAAGAGCAGATAGATGGGCTTCAATGCAACAAATTACCTGTCAATTTAACACTGAATGATTAGCACGGGCATGCAAACATCACCAATGGACCATCGAGATGTGGAAAAATGTTGCTTGGACTGATGAGTCGAGATTCACTTTGGCACATGCCTATGGCAGTGTATGGCATAAACCACATGAAGCAATGGATCCTTCCTGCCAGCAGAGGACTCTTCAAGCTTGTGGTGGTATTCTTGTTTGGGAAATGTTCACATGGGCTGAAATGGGGCCCCTGGTATGTGTGATATCGTTTCTCGCAGGTGAACATTACCGGAATATCCTTGACAACCATCAGTTCCCATATGTTTGTTTTCGACAGCCTATTACAGAGATTATCCTTCAACAAGATAATGCATCATGCTATCACTCCCAAATTGTATCAGAATGGTTGGACGAACGTTCCAGACCTGTATAAGCTTTACTGACCAGCAAGGTCACCTGACCTGAATCCGAATAAGCAGATCTGGGATACAATTGAGAGAGATGTTAGAGGCTTTGACAGCCTTCCATCTAATCTCTGTGAAATCCAGGTTGTTCAGGAGTCATGGATACATACAACTTTCCATTGTTTCCAGTATCTTGTCAAGTCCATGACAAGATGAATCACAGCCATCATTGAGGCAAAAGGTAGTGAGTGCTATGCGTTACTAGACAGGTATACGTAATTCAGCTGCTCTTTAGTGTATTATGGAATCAGCCTTCATTAACCGACATGCCATCCAGAGTGTCTGCAAAATTGGAATTATAACTACTATTTGTGAAAGTTTTCGTACTATTTATGAATAGTTAAATAGAAATACAAGAAAACATCAATAAACACAATTATTAAATAATGAAAGAAAATTATGAAACTCCATATTAAGAAACTTACACACACAGCTTTCAAAATGCTGACAGCAATTCTTTGATACTGTTATTTTTCCAAACTATCTTTCCACTCTATTATCCCCCCCTCAAAAAGTAGTCAGTCAGTATGATAGCATTAGATAAAAGAAAACAGCACTGATTGCCAAAATAACTACGAAGGAAAATTCCATTATGAGATATGACAACTACGTAAACTAAAATGAAATGGAAATAAAATACAGATCTCTGGAAAACCTTCAAAATTATACTATAAACTTGAGAATACAATGCTTCAAAATAATGGATGAAAAAGAAGGCGCTACAGCCACTGATGAATTTGCCAACATGAAAGAGAAAACAAATTTTGGAAGAAAGAATCATTAAAATTCTATCACCTATTCAAATATTCTAAGCATGAAAGTATATTTAATGTATTTAATTCTAAAATGCAAATTCATTCACCAAAATTACAATCCCTAAATTTTCTGGCATAAATATATTAAAAGGAGTAATTTTAAACTATAATTTGATGATACTTATTATTAATCAGTTAACAGAAGCTCTGTTGTTTAAAAGGCTGCATTAATTCATGAAACAAGAAAACTTGAAGCTGTTGCAGATAATTTCAGTTCTCCATGCAAAGCTCTTCAGCATAGATAGAAAAATAAAAAAATTCTAATTGAGTTTTGGATAATTGAGCTGCATGTGTTATCAACATCATTTAAAAAAAAAATTGAAAATATTTCTGACTTCACAAACTAAAATTGGTGTGGAGGTCATACATTATATTATCAGCTGAAATTAAATTTGGTAGCATTTATTATACAAAAACATTTTCTTGTCATGTAAAATAAATAATATTCTGCTACTGACCTACTCTAAATAACAGTTTAGTGTTTTAAAGATATTAGCATTATTAAAAATACATGTGCTTTTATAAAATTCCATTTGGTACTTTCACAAACATATCTTAGCTGCAAGAATTGTATTTATATGCAGCAACTGGTTTCATCCTAATTCACAAATATGCATCTGCAACGTATAAAAAATAATTAGACTTAGGTGTGCCAGTTCATATTATAAAGCTAAAAAATGTCAATCAGACATTAACCCATACTTCAGCAAACAAATATCTACATATACTTCACCAAACAAAAGATTGCATATATTTACTGATAAGGGTTGAGCATGATATTCTTCAGTTGGACTGCTTAATTCCGCAGCTTCCCTCATCAGTCGTTTCACCGCTGAAATGATATAAAATAAACATTACTATGCTCTTTTCTATTAAAAAAAATACTATCATGAGAACATACATAAATTTCAATTAATCTTCACTTGGATAATTATTTATAATAACAGCGATTTTTTAATGGGCCTATAAATGCAAGGTGGGGTAGAAAGGATGAATATTTTTTAAATGGCTTGAACTCATCATCAGGTGGAGTGACAAATCTGTGGCAGGCAGCATGAGATTCACTGTAGTTTTAAAATTGTCTTTTTAGTTGAAGCCATAGACAACAGAACACTGCATTTTTGCAAATGACTGTTTATCGAGAATAATGAGTCTATCATGGAGTTCAATTCAAGTTTCGTTGCCATTTTTAATATCCATACAAATCAAGCTGTTACTGATTATAACACTAAAGCAATTTGTACACAGTGTACAGTATTGAAAAAAAGGACCAGTGGGTACTACACAGATGTCACATACCCCTGAAAATGTGGAAAGAGTCTGATAAGCCTTGCTGTGCAGTCAAAGTCAGTCTGCTATTAAGCATTCTTTTGAACTTAGCCTTAGTAATTATTTGGTAACATATATTTTGCATTTAGAAATGCAATTCCTACCAAGTGGCTATTGTGAGGTAACTACTCCACAACAGCCACAATAGCAACTTGCCACAATAGTAACTTGGGGATTCTGCACAGTAACTAAACTTTATACACGAGATGGAAGTAATTTTTTGAGCAAAATAACAAACCCATTTTGTTCACAAGTGATGAAGCTCATTTTCATCCAAGTGCCATCGTGAATAAACAGAACTGCCATAAAATCCAGAAGAATTACATATAAGATTGCTGCACAGCCCTAAAGTGACAGTTTAGTGGACAATTTGGTATCAGGAGTCCTTATGTTTTTGTCACTAATAATGGGAACACTGTTACTGGGAACTGATACTGAGATGATTAAACAACTGTGTTTTTACCTGAATTAGAATGAAAACATATTCAAATTTGATGTGTGTGATTTTAACAGGATGGGGCAACAGCCCATACATTTAAAACATCCATAGACATTATTTGCCTTCTCTTCTCCTAATTTCCAGATCTGGTGACATTTATCAGCCCTTTCGGTCCTCTAACTGCTCCATGTTGCAATTATTTCTTGTGGGGACACCTCAAGGCATGTGTATATGAGAGTAAGCCCTGTACATTGGAAGAACTGAAGAAAGCTATTTGCAAGTAAGTTGACCAAATCACAGAGTGATGTTGGAGAAAGTGTATACAAACTTCCAGAAACATCTTCAGAAATGCATCAGTGATAATGGACACCACGTGGGTGATGCTATTTTTCACACTTGATTCTGTCAAATGTTATTTCAATACTAGCTGAATTTGTCAATGCATTTCTTTTTAGGGAAACATTAATGATTTTGTGGTTTCTTAAAAAAAGTTCACCCTTTCTGCCTCACCTTGTATAAAACAAATATGGTGTATACAAATATAATTAAAGAACAAGAATTCAAGAACAAGTTAGAAGAGTGTAACCAAAAAAAAAAAAAAGTATCTTTGATAAGATGTAAAAGTAAGACTGGATTTGATTACTAAATTTAAGCAAAATACATGATAGGCTCTACCTAAGCTTAACTCCAACTCTCACAAAGAAAATACAGAAGATGAAACCAGAGAATCCCAAACACCACTCTTTTTTTTCTTCCACCTATCTCTTGAGAAGAAGTTTGAACTGACAAGTTTTTAAATACCCCTATTCTCTTAAGATATTACTCAAAAGTATGAACACAATTGATTTGAGTAATTATCTTAGAACTAGGAGAAGTTTTAATGCCTTCAATAACAACAGCAGACATAGAACAAAGCAATTAAATATTAATTTGGTGTAAAAAATGTACAAAAATTAATCTATTACCTTGAACAAAACTATTTTATTAAATTATGTGATTAAGCAAATATGCATTCAGCTACTAAAAAATATCTTAATGAAACACTGTTTATGATAAAAAATTTGCCTTACATGCCCTAATTTCAAGAAAATATTTCCTCAGAAATTCTCTTCTTTAGTTCTTTAATTTCTATTAAGCAAAAAGTTTCTAGGATAATAAAAAAAAGGCTCCTATCCAAAAAACAATTAGTTAATGCATATTTTTACTAATCACATTACCATAAGAAAAATCATTCATGCTGAGCTCAAAATCATCAAGCGCTGCAGCAAGTCCAAAAACGGCAGAAGGTACTGTAAGGCATTGAGTAATGTGTGAAGCAACAGATAAGCAGGTTTACAAAGATATGCCAGAAATAGTGTGTCATAATAATAGCAGTAAAAAAGAGAAAGCGTAAATGGAAAGGAACATAAGAGAGATATAACAATGTAAGAGTGGGGCTAATTATTATTAGGAACATAGATGAACTGAGTATACAATGTAAAAATTATACAGTACAAAACAATGTAAAAAGTTAAGTGATGTGTCTTAACACAGCCATTGGCCTTTTTCTGTTTACAGTTGCAGAAACATCATAGTTGAGAACAGGAACATAACACTTAATGCTTAATGCTTGCACACATAATGATGTAATGCAACTAATGTCATATTGGTTTCTAGAACAATTTCTGATGGTCAGAAGGGTTTGCAATTATGATTTGCTTCTTCTGTTACAAACGTGTCTCGTTCATGATAGATGGCTAAATGGCTGTGCTTCCTAAATCTACCCAAGTGCTATATTTTCATAGCATTTTATTACTTAAATATGAATTATCAACTTTATATTTGGTTTCTATAATCTCCAGATCACTAGCTAGATCTATGCCGAATTAAGAACAAGAAGAAAGCAAAAAGATATCAAAGTGCTAACATTACCACAGAAAGCCATTTTCATACCACAAATACATAGCTTTTTTAAGTGCCTTTAACAGAGAAATAGTGTCAGGTAGGTAAACTGCTTATTTAAATTAATATTTTTAACAAAACTGATGTGCTATATATTTAATTACTTTAGGCAGCTCCTTGTGCAGTCTGCCCCTTAATGCTGTGGAGAACTCTTTATTATTATTATTATTTGTCCACTGGCCCAAGAGAGGGCGCTACCAGCTTTCTCCCTCATCTCCACTAGGGAAAAATTCGGGCTGGTTACTCTGTTCCTGGCTGCCGTTATTGAAGCACTCGTTCACCTCTCTTCCAATTCACTTTCATGATTTTTCAGTTACGTCGACTTGCTAACTATAAAAATGCTTATCGTGCGAACTGTAATCAATGTGACTGTGTATCAGTGAATGTGTGTTAAAATACATAACTTTTTCTAGTGTTAAATAAAAATGTTAAAAATCATCGAGCTAAGCTATCATCGTTTTATCTGCAGCAACTCAAAAATGGCATCCATAGACGAAAGCCATAATGCCTTCAGCAATCTAACAACTTTGAAAATATGTCGACTTGACATGTGCTCGTAAACATCTAATACATTTAACCCTTTGCACTCGAGAGGTGACTCTCACTCACCACTTGGTTTGATATGGAAATACAATACGCGGCAATAACTGTTTACGTTTAGTTTCTTCGAAGCAGGTTCCTACGCACTTTCTGTATAATCTTACGAAGTGTAAAATGATACTCCTTTAGATGGAGATAAAATTATCTGAAATCTTATCTATCACAAAGTCTGTTCTCAGAGAAATGAAACCAGAAAAAGGCATCAAACAACTTATTGTAATACTTGCCCCTACAAACCGGGCATGCATCTTAGGAATTGTTACATGAAATATCACACACAGAAAAATTACAGAGACTAATATTTCAAAAATTATGTTTATAAAAGTGTAAAGATATATAAAATGTTAAAATATAAAAATTTTATGCATTAATTTGCGTGTGTAATGATTTTAGGAGTCAAAAAGAAACGAGTCAAAAAAGGCTGCAAAACATTTTGAGCTGCTGGTGCACTGCACGAAAAAGGGTCCGAGTGCAAAGGGTTAAATCTTTCACAAATAAATCAAGTATATATGCTAAACAATAAAATATAAGCTGAAAACTATTTTCTAATTCTTTTCTCCTTTTTGGCATATTTGCTGCATTATTGGTTACACAACTATGAATTTTATGTTTATATCTGCTTTAAATTTTTTTAATGGCATCAACCAGCAAGGCATAGCTTCTAACAATCCCATTTTTTGTCATATCTCCCAGGTTTTAATTTTCAGTCTTTACTTTAAAAAACTACTAAAGAAAATGTCTCTGAGAAATAAATGAAATTTATTGAATTAATAAAATTTAATTTGTGAAAATTCTATTCTTCCAACCCCCAGTGATTTTCACAATTTTCCTTATTAAATTTTATTTAATTTGAACTGTCTTAATCTATTGTAGACATTTATAAAACTTTTCAAGACTATTAACCCTCTGAGCAATCAGGGTTTTCGCTAAGAAAGCACAAATTTCCAAAAACTACTATGAGAACAAATTATTTTTTTGATTTTAATGTAAAAATTCTCCTGGTATTACATACCTGGATTTGTGTACTTTTGACAATATTTTAATATGCACATATATATATATATATATATACATATATATATATATATATACGTTCTTACAGATATCACAAAAAAATTGTGTACTTTGACATATTGCCTTAATTTCTTTGACATATTTTAATATGCACGTATATATACGTTCTTACAGATAATACAAAAAATATTCTAGGCCATATATATAAGCACAATTGCGGCTACACAAAGACAAAAATAACAAGTCAAAGAACTGCATAAACTTGACCTATTTTCACTTAAAAAAACATCACAGAATTGCACAAACTAGGCATTGTGCACTGCCTTGACTTTATCCATGTACACGTCGACCTATTTTCACATAAAAAAAACATCACTTGGCATTGCACACTCCCTTGACTTTGTCCATGTACACATTGATATATTTTCACTTAAAAAGTTAAAGGAGCCCCCATTTCTAGGTAAAAGTATATTTACGGAACATTCAACTACTCAGGTTACCATAAATGAAACAACAACTTGACGATAAACGAAACAACAACTTGGCGATAAATAAAACAACTTAGCAATAATACAAAGGATACCCTTCAGTCTACTCTAACCCATCGTTTTCAGTATAAAAGTATAAGAGAATTACAAAATTTATCTAACTACATATTAACTCATTTTAAGTAAGTATCACATTACAAATAGTTACATGAATCATGTATTACAGAGCAAATTTATGTCAATTTCAAGTTCTTTTGAAATAACATCAGTACAAAATCTTCCAGAACCTTTCAGTTTTCATATGAGAACCTCCCAGTTATTCATATTTCACGGGTGCTAGCTATGCTAAGGATAAATAAATTTACATTTGTATGTAGTGCTAATGATTATCGAAAGTTTCCACTAAATACACAGTTTCATCCACTGCAAATTGGTGGTTAATTGCAGATAATATACTAACAGTCTTACATTATACGTACTGTTTGATTAATCAAAATATTACTGCATGCGTCTATTTGTTGTTTATATATATAATTTAATAATCTACCTCTTAAGTTACTTTTAGATGGAGGCTTTCTTTCCAGGCTAAAGCATCTGCATTAATCTTGTGAAATACCATATTTTTAACATAAATTTACCTACTTGACCATTCATCTTAGATTATTCAGAATATGGTGCTTTTACAACATATTTACTTAGATCATAGAGCATGTGTTTTGTACACTCATCATTGCACTTGAGACAACGGACATGAGAGCAACACACTTCTATGCATTTTACTAAAACAATCAGCTGGAACAGAAGCAATCATAACTTTAAAAAGAAGAAAAATATTTCTTTTAGTTTTTTGAAGACCAGTTAGAATTTTTAATAATTTTATACATATTTGGTATTTGTAAGTAAAAGAAGCATAAATATGTAAAACACTAAAGAATAATTACCTTTATTGATTTACATTAATAAAAACATATAACACTCACTTGGTGTTTAATACTGGTCGCGGACACTTAGCCGACAACCACTTATCCGACAGGACACTTAACCGACACCAGTTAGCTGACAAGACATTTAGCTGACACGGAAACTTAGCCGACATGGACACTTAGCCGACAGTACATTTAGCCGACAGGACATTTAACCGACACGGACACTTAGCCGACAAGACATTTAGCCGACACGGACACTTAACCGACAGGACATTTAGCCGACACGGACAGTTAGCCGACAAGACACTTAGCCGACAAGGACACTTAGCCGACAGGACATTTAGCCAACACAGAGAGTTAGCCTTCAGGACATTTAGCTACGGGACACTTAACTGTCAAGTCATTTAGTCAATAGGACACTAAGCCGACAGTGACGTTTAGCTGACACGTACCCGATAATTATTCAAATTTATTATCAATTACAAAATTTCTCGACTTCTCCTAAGTTCAATATTTAAATCATTTTCTTCACCTATCAGCAAAACTTATTTTTCGATTCTTAAAGATTCCATAGGTGCTTTTAATTATTGTGTGGTGTATATTGGACAAATTGAAAAAGCGCTGAAATTTCTTGTCAGGGAATATGAAATAAATATCGAAAGGAAAAAAAGTTTTTTTTTTTTACCTAAGTATGGCGGTCACTTAATTACATTTTAATATGGGATTTTCAAAAATTATCCGTAAAGCTTCTTCATTAATCAACTGGGTTCTTTTAAACACTTTCACATCATTAATATTTTTTCTTGTTTACTTAATGATATTAATTTTCCAATCTGGCTCTTCTTAATGCTTTCAAATTTGTAGGAAATTAAAAGCGCGATTCTGTAACATTTTATTGACCATGCCTTTCGCTTAAAATACTTACTTAGGTTAATGTTTATAACACTAAACTGTTTCATAATGTTTAATTTAGAGTTAAAATATTCTTTAAAGTTTTGCGAAATGTATTCAGAACGTTTTGGCTGAACTACATTTTCCACTCTTCATATATCGAAAACGCTGTTGATATGCAACTCCACTCTTATTTTCTAACCGCACCTACTAAATGATTTGGATCGTGTTAAAGTCGCGCGGAAGCCTTTTGAATATGATTTATCGGAATTGGATAGTGCATGTTTTAGTACACTGTAAAAATATACAGATTTCTCTTTTCCTAACTAATTTGTATATAACATTATGTACTCACAATCATAATATTACACACACAATCATCTTTCTTCTCTGATCAGGCAATAGAAACCCAGGACAAAAATCGTATATCGCAGTATTGCAGTTCTTCTCTCTCTTTATATATATATATAGTATACACAATCATTTTTTTCCCTAAACAAAAATTATGCAATAATTCAGCTCTCTCAGTATTAACTTTTGAAGTTTTATCATAATGGCCATAGTTAGTAGGTAAAAATGAGTTTGCCCGATTCCGACATTTTAATAAAGTTGCTTATTTTTATCTTAAGAATGATAAATAACTGCCGGTTGACGATGAGGTGACAGTGATTTTTAAACATCTCCTTTCGGTCACCATAACCTTGAAAGTTCTCTTTATTATTTTTTTAATAGCAAAATAAAATAGAGATGCTAATCTAACACTAAACCGCCAATATTTTCTTTAAAAGCTTAATTCAAAAATAATACTTACTTCGGTATTCAGGTTTGGGACATTTTCGAGCAACGCATTTATAAAGGTTTAGCCTAAAAAAGAAATTTTCATCAGAAGAGACTGGTTCTATATTAAGTAAAACGGTCACTCTATTTCTGATAGGCCCAGCAGCGTCTGAGTGGTAAAGTCGCAGAGCACTGGTAGTTCGGTCGGAATTTTGAATCCTGCGAACGGACTGTCCTTAGTTTGGGTGTTTCCTTAGTTTTCCCATATGTAACGTATATGAGCCAGTTTTCTTTAGAACGTCCTCCACGAAGGCATCCCTTCCCTTGGGCAGATAGCCTTCTGGCTTTGTCATAATTACATAAACCAAACCTACTTCTGTTAGGTGGCTGCAGTACCATGTAGCTAACCCAAAAACAAGTAAGAGAAGGAATGAAAGAGAAAAAAAATAAAATTAATGAAAAATGAAATGAAAATTTATACATTTTTAACAGATATTGAGAAAAATTATATTTTATAAGAAAAACATTAATATAACATATTATATTGAAAATTACACATTGCGACTTTCAAAACATAGTACATAATATTATCTATTTACATGCCTGATCTAGTTAAATGTAGCATCGATAGATAGCACCGAATTAGGCTCCGCCCTACTTTGGTTTGTGGCCGCCTCCTTCTGCAGCTTCAGTTATGAATAAAACAAAACCTTAAAGAATAGTGTACTTCTAAATTAAACATTATGCACTAGTTTAGGGCTATAAACATTAACCTACGTAAGTATTGTAAGCGAGAGGCGTGGTCAATAAAATGTTACATAATTTGGTACAACTCTGATATACGCCCTAATTTTACCAAATGTGGCGATATGTGTTCTGCGCTGGTTTTTGGCACGATTGTGTGTTGTATGGCAACTCTGTTGACGTTGAAAAATCTTTCGCTGGAGTTTGTTGGTTCCCGTCATGCTTTGTGTCTGAGAAGCTAGGGGGGAAGATTTAATGGTGAAAGTTGCTGAATTGAAGTTCGGCATAAGGAAATATCGTCGTGGCCATCCTGTTGAGGGGCAATGGTTATTTGGAGGTGTGGAAAGAAGGTATGGGAGATTATTTTTAGTGGCTTTGCATGACAGAAGTAGGGATTTGTGATTATATTGTTAATTTTATTTATTCGTGAACCATAGTATGAATTTTCTGGATAGTGTGTCTGGCTGTTATATAAATACGATAGTGATTACGTGGCGGTATGTTAAAAGGCGGTATGAAATTGGTATTTCTGTTGTTCGAAAAAGCATTAATGGTAAGTGCATTTTATTTTATTCTTGTTCTTATTTTGTAGAATGTTATGTTTTATTGTTTTTTTAGTATGAATTTCTGTCGTTATCGTTGTTTTTTTTGAATAAATTTCAAAAAATTTATTTTAGTTATTTTGTTGATTAGTGCGTCACCGTCTAAATTGTGCAATTCGTAGATGTATTTTAAAGTTGAAATAGAACGCTGTGTACATGGTATTCTTTGAAGTTTATTGTTATGTTAATTTATTAAAGCAAGGTGTGCGTAGTTCGTAAATTTGTTCGTTGCCTAGATGGTGCCATTCGTAGATGTTTTTTTAAGTTAAAACATACAGCTGTGTACATGGATTCTTCTCAAATAATTCTGGTTAGAAACTTCACGGTTTTGCTATCTAAATTTTTTGTTTTTGTTTCAGATTTTTAGCTTAAATTGTGTGTTCAAAACGTGGTTTTTGCATTAGCGAAAACCGTGTTTTTGGAGACATTTTAGGCTTAAAGTTCGAAATGTAAACAAAAAATTTAGATAGCAATATGGCAGCGTGGAGTTTCTCGCCAAGGCGCCTTGAGGGCGCATATCAGAGTAGTTCCCATAATTTTTATCTCAAGGATGGTGGCATGAACTGCAAATTATAGAGGTCACAAATAATTTATACCTTTGCTGGTCTTAAAAATTCACTTTTTTAAATTAGTTTTAATAACAAAATAAAATATATTTGCTAAACTAACCTGCATCACCATATGTTTCTATAAAAAAGTATAATTCAAGAATAACAAAAATTTTTATTGCATTATTCAGATTTTTCATGACAGGGAAAGGAAATTTCATTAGTGGGAGGAGCCAAACGATTTTTTAAGGGAAGGAATGTACCATGATGTTATGAGCAAAATAGCAATGAAACGTAAAGATAATTAGAAATTTGAAAGCATTTGAAAGAGCGAGATTGGAAAATTAATATCATTACGTAAACAAGAAAAATTATTAATGATGTGAAAGTTGATTAAATGAAGAAGCTTTACGGATAATTTTTGAAGATCCCATATTAAAATGTAATTAAGTAACCGCCATACTTAGCTAAAAATATTCTTTCTCCTTTCGAAATTTGATTCATATTCCCTGGCAAGAAATTTCAACGCTTTTTCAATTTGGCCAATATACACCAAACAGCACGATACATATCAAACAATGCTAAATTAACACAATAATTAAAAGCACATATGAGATCTTGAAGAATCGAAAACTGAATTTTACTGATAAGCAAAAAAATTAACTTAAAAATTGATCTTCGAAGAAGAAGATTCGGAGAAGTCGAGAAATTTTGTAATTGATAGTAAATTTAAATAATCATTGGGCACGCGTCAGCTAAAATGTCTTGACAGTTAACTGTGCCATAGCTAAATGTCCTGACGGCGAATTCTGTGTGTCGGCTAAATGTCCTGTCGGCTAAGTGTCCTGTCGGCTAACTGTCCGTGTCGGCTAAATGTCCTGTCGGCTAAATGTCTTGTCGGCTAACTGTCCGTGTCGGCTAAGTGTCCTTGTCGAGTAAATGTCCTGTCGGCTAAGTGTCCGTGTCAGCTAAGCGCCGTCGGTTAAGTGTCCCGTCGGCTAAGTAGTTGTCGACTAAGTGTCACGGACCCGTTTAATACATGTTCTTGTATCTATCTATATCTAAATTTCTCAGGGCTTTAAAATATTTTTACATTTTAATCATATTTAAACCTAAAATACACATATACTACAAAAATTGAATAGAAATAACAATTTTTCAATATGAAGCATATGAAGAAAACAATTATGAATTCACATTTTTATCATTACTCTATTTTAAACTAAGTCTAGCCCTATATATGATATGGAAATTTAGATATTTTCCCATAGATTATGGACATATTTTATAATCTGAAAAAAGTTATTGCAATTATTTGTGAACTAAATATGCTTATACAAACTTCCTAATTCTTTACAGAGTAATTAAATAAATCTTATGTATTATGCATCCTACACAGGTGACTAAAATTGCAAATAATTCTGAATTACAGTTCTACTCTTATATTCGCCCCAAGATCACCAAATGTCGCGATATATGTTCTGTGCTGGTTTTTGGCACGATTGCAGTGATTTTAGGGATGATGTTGTTTGTACGGCAACCCTTTTGACATTGAAACTTAACTCTTTTGCTGCAGTGGTTTATTTGCTCATTGGTTCGTGTTGTGCGTGTTTTGAAATGCCCTAAGTTGAAATGATAGACGTGGTGACAAGATTTCAGTAGCATATTTTAGATTGTGTGAAAAGTAAATTTAGTATTAAAAGGTATGATGTTGGAGTTGCTAATGAGTCTTTCGTTCACGGGTGTGTTTATGATGATTGAAGTGCATTTTTGGAGTTTCTGTGGGACTTTTAAAACGGAGTCCGAAATACAGAGCTGCTATGAGAACTCAGACGAAGAAGGACATTCTGATAGTTCTTGTGTGGATTTGCAGTCAAATGCTTGCTCGTAAAGTATGTGGCTGTCAGCAGAGTTTAAGATTTGGATCATGGTTTTCGTGTAGTAAGATAACTTTGGAGGAAGTTTTTATCGTTACTTTCGAAATTTTTAGTCGCAGAAAGAGATGTGATATAGCAAAATCGTGGTACTTTTGTTCACAGATGTTGTGTGACTGCCGAAATTTTATTAACGAATGTATTATGGTAAGTGCATTTTATTTTACTGGTTTTATTTTGTAGAATGTTATGTTTTTTTACTATGAATTTCTGTTGTTATTGTTGTTTTTTGGAATTGTTTGTATTTTTAGTTTACTTTGTTGATTTGTGCGTAATGCCTAGATTGTGCAATTCATAGATATATTTTTTTTAAAGTTTAAACATGATGCTGTGTACATGGCATTCTTTGAAATTTATTGTTATGTTATTTATTAAAGCGAGGTGTGCGTAGTTCGTAGATTCATTCGTTGCCTAAGATTGTGCAATTTGTTGATTTTTTTTTTTTTTTTTTTTTTTAAGTTAAAACATATTGCTGTGTACATGGATTCTAGTCAAATATTTTTGGTTAGAAACTTTAAATTTTTTGTTTTGGATTTTTAGCTTAAATTGTGTGTTAAAAACATGGTTTTTGCATGTGCGAAAACCGCGTTTTTGGAGACATTTTAGACTTAAAGTTCGAAATGTAGACAAAAAATTTAGATAGTAATATGGCACCGCCAAAAATGCTTATCGAGAAATTTGTCGCCGCATTTGGCGACCTGAGGGGGCATATAAGAGTAGTTCCTGAATTAGAAATAATAATGGTCATGATAACAATAGTGACAGACACTTACTATCATCCATTTCTTGTTTTATATCACTTATTTAAGCTTGAAAAAGGCAAATTCAATAGCGATTTTACATTCAGGAAACTAAACCTTTCATTTTTCTCCCCAAAAGTTTTACACATTGCATTACTAACCCCCACTAGTTTAATCTTTCCATTAATACAATTCAAACTTAAGATTGGAATAATTTGGAAATTTTAGCTTCCTGATGCACAGTGGCTCCCAAAAGTGTTCGTACACTTACGATTTTCATTGAAATAGGGCTCTAACCTTTAATTAAAAGTAAACTTTCTGAATGAGATTTTAATAATAAGATCTATAATCTATTCGTAACAAAATTATATGAAATATTTTTTAAATATAGCGAAACTTTATTTTTAAGAAATTAATAATCAAAAAATGACAAACATTTTATCTCGCAAAAGTCTTCGTACACTGCAAAAAAATCTTGACATATTAGTAAATATTTTCATTTTTCGTTAAATTAATACTTAGTAGGATATCTGGCTAATCTTTGGAATATGGTAACAGGCAGTTTGGTGACATTTTGGTAAGGCAATAAAGGTTACTAGGTAGGACTTAGCAATAATCTGAAAAGTACATAGTTCGAATCACAGATGATTTTGTCTCAGAGAAATGAGAGATCATGAGATAGGTCATGTAACATTTTCCGGAAAATTCCGATCGTGATTTTAGCTAATAAGCACTTAGAAACAATTTCGCTGCTGAAGCGCAGAATCGCCCACTTATTTGTTTGGCGCTTTTTCCAAGAGTAAGAAGAATTGGATTTTTGTCAATTTTCTTTGAC